TGTGTGTGTGTGTGTGTGTGTGTGTATGTGTGTGTGTGTGTGTGTTTCTCTTTACCTCTCTCTGTCTTTGTCTCTCTCTCTCCCTGAGGAAACCATCTTCCTTTCTAGGCAACCAGGTGTCATAGTAAACTTTCCCTCCCTTGCAGAGCACAGTAACACGTCTGGGATTTCTTCCTCTCTGGTTACTTTGCTTACATTCCAGTCTTTCCTTGGTCCTCCAAGTTGGCCAGTTAGCATATGATTGCAAAGTCATTGATGTAAATCTTGACTGGCCACCTACAGCCATTGAAACTTCCCCACACAAGAGGACAGGAGCTTGGAACAAAGTGATTATTACCATGTAAGGTTTCAACTCTACATTCCCCTCTGGGCTCTCATCCTTGGCCATACAGTCAGCCTTGCAGGCGAGCAAAGAGGAAAAAAAACCTTTTGCCTAGAAGAAGCTCACAGCCTTTAACAGCTGTTCATGCCTCTGTGGCCCTCCTGGATGGCCTCCTGAGATTAGAGACCAGGACATGCCAGCTCTTCCCAAGCAGAATGGAACTTCAGCCCCTCTGGTCCATCCAGAGCCTAGCAGAAAGGAACAATGGAGGGCAGCCCCCATCCTGTTGTGTTTGTGGTATCTGGCTCTATCCTCTAAGAGCCCCATTCCCTTTCCCAGAGGCCCCAAGTGATGAGTTTGTTTGGTTTTTTTCTTCAGCCCTTATCTATGACACTTGTTCTACTTGGCTTGGGAAGGGCCTTTCTTTTCAATATTGTAATTTTCTCAGATCACCACCTTTAAACCTTCCTAATCCTTTGTTCTTCAAAATAATAAGCCCTCCTGAGAACCCTGTAGCGGGAGAATTTCTGTGGTTTATACATGATTGAAATGAAAACCCAGTTCTCACAAATATTGAAAAGGAAATTGTTCTCACTGAAAAGTCCTTTAACACCCGGGTACCCATATACCTCCTAAATAAAATTGGGGAGGTAACCAGCACACACCAGGGTTTCTTGGCATGTCGTCTCAGAATCACTGTGTAAGTTTTAGATAGAGTGGAGTATTTGTTTTTGAATAACCTGCCCTTTCTCTGTATACTTATGTCTTCCCACGTTGGGAATACCACCTTTTCCTTCTGGAAGAAAAAAGAAACACTGGTGCAAGTCATGATATCTCATAATGATGAGTCCAAAAGCCAAGCTTGGTGCAACTCAACCCACCATTGACTATTGACTATTCAGAACAGTTTAGATAAGATAAATAGACACTATCCTGGTCCTCATTGCCTAAGTTTCTAACAGTGTGGCTTGTTCATTCATTACTCATTATCTTCTCTTCCAGGCCACCACAGACTTGTATGGCAACTGTACTCTGAGGCATTCTGGGACGTCTGCAGCTGCTCCTGAGGCAGCTGGCGTGTTTGCACTGGCGTTAGAGGCTAAGTATGTTTCACCTCTGAGCGGGAGGACAGCTCTGAAGGGTGAACTAGTGTGAGCCTCTCCACTCATATGCCAGGTGTCCACGGAGACAGGAGTGGATATGAGAGCTAGAATGTCAGGGCTAATGAATTCTTCTAGACATTTTTTAATGGCTCTCAGTCCTTAAATGGCACACACACACACACACACACACACACACACACACACACACACACACACACTGTACAACTATATACCTGGAAGAGCAGAAGGCTCCAAAACCCACAGTACAAAACAGCAACTTATTTACACACCAAAATACAGCACACAAATATGTCCTCCTTCATGAAATCCCCCTTTATTTTCTGTAAACTACACAGCTATTTCACTCCAGTAATGCTCTTAGTTGGCTAAATGAAGAACTATTGGAATAGTTCTTATGTGAGAAGAATCCACTTCTCTGCACCAAGACAAAGCAGGTGTAGTTGTGCAGAATAGACCAAGAAATGGGTTTTCTTGAGAAGCCCTCTTGGTAGCAGATAAGAGATCATTTCCTGTGAGAGGCCACCTGTGGCTCCTCCTAGGTGTGGCTCAGATTTAAGCATCAGTGGCAATACCTGCCAGGGTGCTGCTCATCTTCTCTGAGAAACCAGAAGCTGGACTTGTAGTCAAAGAATGTTCTTTGGCCTCCAGAAGTCATGCTACTAGGCATGCAGGTTATATGGAGAGTTCAGAGAATGGATCACTTAGCACCTTGTGAGAAGTTGGATTCAGGCTCCCCAGGTAGGAGAGTTAAGTTCCCATCTTGTCAGAAGTTGCTAGGTAACCGTGGTCTCTAGCATCAGTATCCAGACAGACTTGCTTGTCCGTCTCCACGATTTCAATACATTCTCTAGCCTGCAAACGAGCAGGCACAGTGGTGCAGGCTTGAACTCCCAGCTCTCAGGAGACTGAGGCAGGGGAATATGGAATTTGAGGTCATCCTGGGCTACATAGACAGACCCTGTCTCAAAAAACAAAAATATATGACAGAGGCAATCATTCATTCTCCCCTCTCTGTACCAGCCTAAATGGCCATTCTTCCAACAAAAGTTAGGTATAAATTTTAACACACCATGAGGGAAACACTGTTCAAAACCTGATTGTGAAGGACAGACACCTCTGCCCTCCTAAGCACTGAAACCAAAACTCATTCACATATGTCGGGCGTTATCAGAAACTGAAACCATTTGTCACATGGTCTGCACAGATCCTGGGATCTAAGCTGGCTTTGCTCACTCAGTGGCAAGCCCAAATAAGCATCTCTCTTCAGCCTTTCAACCTCAGTGGACAAATCTTAACTCAGTTCCTTGGGATTTAGGCAAGCAAAATGCCGCTTGCCTGGGCCTTCCACACCCAGAATGGACAGTCTCAGTAAGCTGGAGTGAGGTGGGATGTGCCTACTGGAATCCTAAATAGATTCTCAATTCTTCACTGAGCAGTCACCGTTCTTTAACACACATGGTTACTGCATGAGCTTTCTGAGAAACCCCACCCAAACCTTTTGCTTATTTCTCATTGGCCGGAACTAGTCACAAGGCCACGCCCATGCTTCAAAGGAGACTGATAATTGTAGTGTTACTGAGCATGTTGCTGCTCTGAATACAACTGAGGTTCTATTTTTTCTTTTAATTTTTTTTTATTTTTGAGGTTATGATATAATTACACCATCTCTCCCTTCCTTTTCCTCCTCCCGGACCTTCTCATACACCCCTCCCAACTCTCCTCCAAACACATGGCCTCTTTTCTCATTGTTATTGCATGCATATATGTATTACTAAATATAAACTATTCTGTCTGCATAATGCTATTTGTACATATGATTTCAGGACTGACCTTTGGTATTGGACAACCAATTGGTGTGCTCTTTCCTGGCACCTCTCCTACCCCCAGCTTCCCTCCATTGCCTATAGTACTTTGTGTAGGGTTGAGGCCTCATGGGCTTTTCCCTGTCCAGTTTGGCATATCCCTTGGATGTGGCATCATCCTTGTTCAGCTCATGCTTGGTCAGTCATGTTGGTGAGACTTTATGGGTGTAGCCTCTGACATTGCTAAAAGACACAATCTTACGATGGATGTCCTGATGCTCCTGCTTTTACAGTCTTTTTATCCCCTTTTCCATAGTGTTCCCTGGCCCTCCTGTGTTTTGTAGATGTATCCATTTGGGCCTGGGCTCCACAGCTCTGCACTTTGAGTGGTTGTGTCTTTCTGTAATGGTCTCCATCTGTTGCAAAGAGGAATAAAGAAGAAATAAGAGGAAAAAGACAGCTCATGGTATTGTCTAGTGTCCATGTGGGCAATATCCTGTTCTGATTTCTGCAAATTATTCAAAAATCAGGCCAAATCAGGTTCAAATGGCATGCTAAATGTCATTGTCAATGCATTAGCTATTTTTCTTAAGCTTGCTTCAGTTACTGACGGCAAACTCTTCAATGCCCATACTGTATGAGATACTTGGCACACATGATCTGTGTTACACACATAATATACATTTACCCCTCAACAAACCTTCAAGACCTCTTCCCCTTTGAGACCTTTTCCCCATTGCAAAGATCTGAAGCTGGGACTCAGATATTGAGGTAATTTACCCAAATTCACATAATGGGATATACTCTCTTGGGTTCTTGAGTCTAAAGCTCAAGTTTCTTTCAACCTGACAACTGGACCTGGAAGAGGCAATGCTGGCACTGAATCGGTAGCAAGCCTATGGAATTCAAACCTGTCTGCCCTGACATAGTCTTTTTACCACCCCTTGATGATTAAGAGACACTGCCAAGATGAAAAAAAAATGCCACCTTAAGCCCATAGTCTCTATGATGAGCATGTGCAGGAGACATCTGGGACTTCATCTACTCCTAACTCTCATGCTCATAACTTCCCAGATGCTGATTCAAAAGATCTGAGACCTACAGCTGATACTAGTGTCCAAAGGGTTCTGCTTTGAGGAGCTTGAGGACCACAGTGAAGCTCTCTGTCTGGGACATCCCAGGGCCTGAGCTGATGCAGCATGTCAGCTTTCACTGTTTCAATATTGAGTTGGCCTGCAGCAGCCTGAGCTGATGCAGCATGTCAGCTTTCACTGTTTCAATATTGAGTTGCCCACCTGTCCCCTAAGCTATACACTCTGTGCACACAAGGAATTTCCTATGACAAGGCTATGACTGGCCTAGTCCCTTGATGTGATAGACACTCAAGATACATGTATGGAATATTTCATCATATGATGTATCTTTTCATATACATGTGACCTAGTAGCCCAACTGTTACACAAAACAGTGAAGAATATGTTATGTTAGTTATCGTATAGCCTCCAACACAACAGCCTTTAATAATGTAGATATTCTGCAGTTTTACTTTGCTATTATTTAACAGCTGTTGCCTGTGAGTCTTGAGCTGATATAGTAGTGTTAAAGCCTATTTTGTAGAACAGTATATTTTATCAATCCTGAAACTTCTCAGAGAGGCAGTTAGGAGGAACCCAATTTTACTTCACACATGCACATAACATCTAGCCCAGACAATGCCACACAGAGGGTTAAATGAGTCTAGTCTGTTCTCATTTATCAAAGAAGTGACAAGCTCTCTGTTCTGCCCCACCCCCACAAGCCCACTCATGAGGAAACCTTCAGAGGAGCATGTGAGGTGATCCCCCAGGCACAGGGGCCACAACACCTTTGTAAGGTGGTCATGAAAGCCCTCCACCTGCTGGCCAGCTTCTGGGTCCCTCGGATTCTCATTTGTCAACTCTTCTGGGATTTGTAAACTCAGAATCCCACTCTAGCAAACCAGTAAAGTTAGCCACAATCAGCTTCTCTCAGAAACTTTTCAAATGCATTGACCCACCTTGGAACCTTCTCCCTCGAAGCTGCACTTCAGGGTTTGGGGAGTGCGTGGCTTCCTGGAGCACTTTGGCTCTGATGCAGAGTTTCAAACTAATGAACTTGGAATGTGTGGAAATTTTGCCAAATGAATGACATCATTCCTTGTCCTTTCAATTGTTTGGCTCCTGTAAAGAATCCTTGTCCTTCTGATTGGATGGCTTCTGAAGAGAACAAAAGTTCACAGGGTTGTCTCCCTGCCCCCCACCCAAACCATGATTCTCAGTAAAAGGCTAATTCTGCATTACAGCCCAACACACCAACCCCAAATGTTTCATGGAAATACTAATACCATTTTATATCTGTCCACTGTCTTTTTTTCTATTCTAATCTATTTTATCAATTAATGATTATTGATTTTTGAGACAGCCTTATTAGGTATCCCAGGCTGATCTCAAACATCAGTCAACCTCTCAGTCATCTCGGTCTTGTCTATTAGAATACCCTGGGAATGTTAACAATCCCCAGCAGCTACTTCTCACACCCAGAGACTATGATTTAATTTGTCTGTGATGTGGACTGAGTGGAGGGATCTCAAATGCCCCAGAGAGATTTTTAGCCTGCAGCCCAGGTAGACTGCCTACACCATAAGTTGCTTTTCTAGCTCACAAATAAGTTGTGACTTGCACTTTTAAAAACTGGCACTAAGTAATAATGGACACTGGTTTCCAAAGACTATGGTAAACATTGTAAGGGGCTGTCCTGTGCCTTGGACATACAGATATGTTGAAGGTTCTGTTCCTGCCTCAAACTGACAGCCCAATTCAGACATCGAGTACACCAGGTAGTGAACACCCAGATTGAGAAATCCTGCACTGCAAACACTAGAAAGAGCAACCCCCCATTCCCCTTCAATTGTGATGCTCAAAACTAACCCTGCTGAAATTCCCAACAGCATAAATGAATTGTTTCTATCATTATGCTTTAAACAAATGGGATCATGTAGTATTTCCCTAGATTAGTTCATTTTCCCTTGCTATAATAAGATACCTGATACTGGGTCCTTAATGAAAAGAGGTTTTATTTAGCTCACAATTTGGAACTGAAAGCCTAAGACCATTTTGTTTTGCCTCTGTGAATGTCCCTCTGGTCATAGCAGGAGCAAGTGGTTGAGGAAGGGATCAAATGACTAAACAGAAAGCTAGAGAATGCGGAAGTGCTGGGCTTGCTCTTTCATAATCACCTCTCTCCAGAACTAACCAGAGCCCCCAAAATTCTATCAGTGCCTCCAGAGAGCAGTGCCCCCAGTTGTAACAATAAGTCTTTCCACCAAGCCGCCCGAGTCCTGCTGCCACATAGGCACTTTCCGCCAGGACGCCCAAGTTCCGCCCACCACCACGTTAAGGTCCCAAGTAACACACAGAGACTTATATTAGGTACAAATGCTGCTTTGCCAATGACTAGGATTTCTCATCTGCTAGCTCAGTCTTAATTATCATAAATCTATATATTTTATATGATTTATCTTATTGGACGCCAGCGGCAAGCATCCTGTCTTCCCAGATTCACATGGTGACTCTGCCTTTCTCCTACCTTTCCCAGAATCCTCCTTGACTCCTAGTCCCACTTATCTTTGTTTTCCTATTGGCCAACAGTACTTTATTTATAAACCAATAAGACAGTCATATACACAGAAGGACCTCCCCCATCACCCAGTGACCCTCTCCCCTCCCTCAAAACCTCTTAAAGCTCCTGCCATCTTCCATCAATGACCCACTGAGGACCAAGCTTCCAACACGCAATCTCTAATGGATGCATTCAACCATATCTCAACCAGAGCATTCTTTTTTCTGCCTGGCTTCTTCAGTTAGTGTTAGTTGGTAAGATTTGTCTGTAGAAGGCTGGGGAGGTAGCTCAGTAGGTATAGTACTTGCCAAGCATACACAAGTCCCTGAGTTCAAACCCCAGTACCACATGATGATGTGGTAGTATGTGCCTATAACCCCAGTGCTCAGGAGGTAGACATAGGAAAATCAAGACTTCAAGGTCATCATCAGCGGCATAGAGAGTTTGAAGTCAGTCTTTTTACATGGAACCCTGTCTTGAGACCCTGTCTCAGTCTTTTTACATGAGACCCTTTTTTTGAGACCCTGTCTCAAGAAAAAAAATATTTCTACATATTATCAGAAATAATCACAATTCATTCATTTTCATTTTGATATAGTATCCCACATTCCACAAGTTGTACCTTAAAAATTCATTCTACTAAGATGAACGTTCACAAGAACTACAATCTAGAGCTAGGTACATATCTGCTGAACATGAATATATTTTGCCAGATACATATTGAAGAATGGAATTACTAGGCTGTGTCAGCCACATGGGCAACCTTAGTAAATATAGCCTTCTTGCTTTTCAATGACTTATACACATATCAGCAAAGTCAATGAGCTCCATTTGCTCCACATCTTTGTCAACACTTGGTATTACCAATCTTTTCCATCTTAGACACTCCAATCTATGTGTAAAATGCTCTTTTGAAATGCATCTTAAAAGTAATAATAGCAACAATATTTTAATTGACATATACAATGGTTCTAGATAGTGCATGAACACATTCCTTGAGTTGTAAGTTCACAGATGTTCCAAACTCTCCTAAGGGGACATGTCCTGAGTGTTACTGACCTTAGTCATTGTGTCTCTTCCCTTCTCACTCTTATATCTTTGCTCTGCACTCTGCCTCCTATAACCAGCCTGGATCTGACCTGGAGAGACATGCAGCATCTGACTGTGCTAACCTCTAAGCGGAACCAGCTTCATGATGAGGTCCATCAGTGGCGACGGAATGGAGTTGGCCTGGAATTTAATCACCTTTTTGGCTACGGTGTCCTTGATGCAGGTGCCATGGTAAAAATGGCTAAAGACTGGAAAACTGTCCCTGAGAGATTCCATTGTGTGGGCGGCTCCGTGCAGAACCCTGAGTAAGTAGGGACAATGCCTGCCACATGTGGAAGGTACCCTTGTTGGTGATAAACCCAGAGTCCCTTTCCATGAAAGGAACCAGCCTGGGTTTCATTTGGGACAACCAGTTTCTGGGGAAGACTATAGAGATGCACAACAGCAAAGTGACCATGACCCAGAACACAGTTGTGCAACTCAGAGCCTATGCTGTAACTATTCCCACAGTTTATAGCATTATTTTTAGGCACCTGGGTTGCTTGACCAATATAGCAAGCATGAAGATCAATAATAAAACATGACTAATGTCCCAGAGGTACCCTCTAACCTCTTCCATCATCATTTCCCCAAGAGCAATCACTATTCTAATGTCATATATTAATTTGCCTATTCTATACTAATATAAATGAAGCCTATATTGCATTCTCTTTTTCCCATTTTTATTTAAATTAGAAATAGGATTGTTTTAAATGCCAATCCCAGTTCCCTCTCCCTCCCCTCCTCCCCTGCCCCCCACTAACACCAGATCCCATCCCCTTTCTGCTCCCCAGGGAGGGTGAGGCCTTCCACGGGGGATTTTCAGAATCTTACATTCTCTTTTAAATCTATATTCTTATGTGGAAAATTGTATTTGTGAGGTTTGACCACATTCAATGTATGCAGTTTATCTTGACTGTTGAAGAGTGATCCATTGTGGGACTACCACTATTGTTCACTCTTATCTGTGAGACAAGGGAATGGCTTGATTTTATTCTGCATGAGGTGGGCTATGATTTAGAGGAGTCTGAATGAGTTCTCCACACAGAAGCCACTGACTGGGTCAAGTATAGCTACTCTCCATCCCATTTCCCTTGTGTGACAAGATAATTGGTCATTAGAGAAACTGCTTCATTTAATTCATTTCTATCCTTACTGATCCATCAGTAAGATGAAGCAAATAATTTCTGTATTACATAGACACCATGAAAATCACAGAATGTAAGTACTTGTTTGCAGGAAGCAGGGTTAAAATAAGATATCACAGTATAGTACAGGCTGGCTTGAGTTCACAATCCTCCTGCCTCAGCCTCCAGAGTGCTGGGATTGCAGATGTGTTCACCAGTATTATTTGAGTTTTGATAAATATGTGCAACTGGGAAACTACCACCCATTAGAAAGATGGCATATCCCATCCACCTGGAAATGTTCCTTGTGTTCCCTTCCACTCACCCACTACAGCCACTGTTCTTACTTATTCTTCTCGCTGTAGATTAGTTCTACCAGTTCTTGAATTTAGCAAGAATCAGACAACATATGTGTTTCTGTTTCTGACTTCTTTTGCTCAACACTAAATTTTTGATATGCAGCTACAATGTTGCATGTAGTGATCTCTCATTTGTTGCAGAGTTTTCTTGTGGTCCTACCACCACAGTCAGCCCCAAATAAACACACACAGAGACATATATTAATTATTAAACTGTTGGCCGATGGCTAGGGCTTCTTTTTTAAATCATTTTTATTTGAATTAGAAACAAGATTGTTTTACATGACAATCCCAGTTCCCTTCTCCCTCCCGTGCTCCCCTACCACCCCCCCCACAACTAAAACCCTACCTATCACATATCCTTTCTTCTATTCTTCCCCTGACTCAACCTTTCTGCTCCCTCATGACCTCTGCATCCTTCCTCTTCTTCCTTTCTCATTCTCGTAGGGCTAGGGCTTCTTATTGGCTAGTTCCCTCTTTATTATTAACCCATGACTACAAATATATGTATTTCTACATGCCCTTAACTCACCAGAGAATGCCTAGCGCATCCTTTCTTCCTGGTCTCTACGTGGCATATCCTGGGGGTTCTCTCTCTCTGCCTACCTTTCCCAGAATTCTCCTCATCTCCTAGTCCCACCTATCTTCCTGCCTCTATTGGCCAAACAATGTTTTATTCATCA